TTTGATATGTAGATCGAAATTGGGACACCCTGTGTAATGGCTAATATTTTAGAAATGTGCCTACAAATGTCATGTATAACGTCCCATAAATAGATTTTCCCAAAATGTATTTGTTTATTAGTGATATTCCGTCCACACATGATGGGCCACCCTATATATCTTTGAAGGTTTTGCGTAGCTTTTCATTCAGTTTTGGAAAGAGGACGAAAAGCTACGCCAACTTAATCAGTTCTTCCCAAAAATTTTGAATGGAACATCAGATTCGCGTTTTTATAAGTTTCTTGTGATATCAGATTTATACTAAGTTATCTGATTATACAAAAAGATTCTAGAAAAACGAATATACTTATCTATTTAGCGACTATATCTTATCATCCATGGAAACAATAACTTCCCCCCACAGTTCTGTGCTCAAGCTAGGTTACCACATTTCATAAATATTTAACTTGTCTGTGAGAAAGTCGCTTTTAATAGCATTATTTAGTTTTTTCTTACTTCTCTAGTAGTCGTTTCCACTCTGACACCAATGTTCCATATTAATTAACACTGCTGGATGGTTTTTCAGTTAATGGCATAATCAAAAAATGCATGTATAGATTGTGTAACTGACGATTCGATCACAATTCTTACATCAAGCTAACAAAGCATTCATATAATGTTTTCTACTTTAACTATGATTTGCTTTCCATGTATAATTAATTATGTATTTTGGATATTTGGAGACCTCCCAAAGGAAGAGACTTCGTTTTAGTTAGGAGAAACCAAGAAAGAAACTAGGTCATCATTCTATGAGAAGTTTTTCGTGTACGAATTAAAAATTTATGAAATGTAGTAGCCCTGGCCTAAGCACAGATCTGCAGCAAGGAGTTATAGTTTCTGTGGTTAATACGATGTGGTTGCTAAATAGATAATTATACGATTTCGTACAATTTTTAGAAGTAATCATATTACCAACTTTCTTAAACCTAGTATCAAAAGAACGCTTATGAAACGGAAAAACTGGTGGTGTAAAAATACACAGGTGGTTCCATTTAAAAATTCTGAGAAAAACATTTTGCGTTTAGCAATACCCTGTATAAACAGGTCATATTATAGGCTCGTTCCGCAGTTGGGCTTAAAGTTGGCATACTTTTTTATCCTCTCTCTAAAGTTAATGAAAAACTACGCAAAATGGCGGAATCAAAGCTTTCGAATGAAGACATCTTTCAGACAAATGACAAATATTGTTAATTTTTTGTATTTCTCGCATTGGTTTTTGAGTTTTGTTATTATCCTTATCCTGATCTACTGGATCTCTGGAGAACTGCCATTTACGCCACGCCCTCCGTTTTCCAGCCGCTAAGGTCCACTGGATAATTTTTTCCTTTAATGATATGAGTGATGGGCCTGGTGCTACTATATGCAGTATTTTGTATAGTTACGCTAAACATATTTGCTTCACAATCAAGCTTTCCTAAGAAGTGGTAATCACATCGTAGGTACGTAATTGTCTAGCCATGGTAGTTGTAAGTCTTGAACCTTCATCATTACGTTTAGCATTGAAGTCTCCCCGATTATAAATCTCGTTCCAGATTTTTTAAGAAAGGTCTTATATATTTTTTTTTTTTTTTTTTTTTTATATCGAAACAGCCGCGCAGGCAGAAGCCTAAATGCCGGAACACCGCGGCTGCTATGATGATCCCAAAGAAATTTTGTTAATACGATTTTTGAACTGCCTAAGGTTAGTAGAACTGGGAAAAGCTTCCTCCCGTAGATTGTTCCACAATCTAGACACCCTCGGGACAAAGGAGCGGTCGTATCGGCCAGTTCTGGATGTACGAAGTTTGACACGGTTAGGATGGGACGCCGAGGTCAGGCGGGTCTGTCTGGCCGGCACATCGCGCGGCGGCATCATGGAAGAGAGCTCTGAGGAGCAAAGCCCGTTGGTGTAGCGATAGAAAAGAGCTAGATCGCCGACGGCCCGCCGGTGCGAAAGAGTCCCGAGACTGTCTGTTAGGGAAGAGTCATCGATCAGTCGGACCGCCCTCCTCTGGACAGCATCGAGCATGGACAATGTAGTCGGGGCGGTAGAACCCCAAATGTGTGAGCAATACTCGAGGCTAGGCCTTATCTGGGCCTTGTATAGAGTGAGAAGGTCATGCGGAGAAAAGTACTTCTTAGCCCTAAACAAATAGCCTAGCTTTTTCCCAGCAGCTGCAGCTATTGAAGAGATGTGTTCGTGCCAGATCAGGTCCTCGGTGATCTGGACTCCGACCAGCCGAAATGAATGGCTCTTTGGTAGAACTCGACCGTCCATCGAAACTGTATGAGCGCTAGGACGCTTTTTGTTCGTCAAAGTACAGTACTGTGTTTTGGAAGCATTGAACTGTACAAGATTGTTGCGTCCCCAAGCAGTGACAGCCTCCAGGTCTCTTGTCAGAGAAGAAGTCGTCGCTAGTCTTCTTTTTTCCAGCTCAGCAGCAGAGATCGGCTTGTCACTCTGAATTCCTGCATGTAGAGTGCTGTCATCAGCGAAGCTGTGGATTGGGTTGATCGTGCAGGAAAGGAGGTCGTTGATATGTAAGAGAAACAGTGTTGGAGCCAAGACCGATCCCTGGGGAACACCCGCGTTGACGTTGTGGGATGAAGAGGAGAATCCGTCAATTACGACGGATATCTTGCGGCCAGAGATAAAGTCAGCCACCCATCTGCAAAGCTTTTCTGGGAGGCCGTAGGATGGGAGTTTGCTTAAGAGGGCAGCGTGCCACAGCTGATCGAACGCTTTCGTGATGTCAAGAGCAACGACATGAGCCTCACCATTAGACTGGATGAGTTTACTCCACAGTTGCGTGACGTAAGCTAGGAGGTCCCCTGTGGATCGTTGGTGCCGGAAACCGTACTGCCTGTCGCTAATCAAGCTGTGACGTTCGAGGTAGTCCAGAAGCTCGCGATTTATGCACCTCTCCATCACTTTACTTATAACAGAAAGCAGAGCTATAGGCCTGTAGTTGTAAGGGTCGGTTTTAGATCCTTTTTTTGGGATGGGCTGTACATGAGCAAATTTCCAGTTTTCTGGGAAGGTGCCGGATTCATAAGATATCTGGAAGAGACGCGAAAGAACTGGAGCAAGCTCCGCTGCACATCTCTTCGGTACAATGGCAGGAATCAAGTCCGGACCAGAAGCTTTGTTGATGTCGAGCGACAAGAGCACTCATCTTACGGTCTTATGCCTGAATGTTACCTCCCGCATAGTGTGGGGAACCCTTTGAATTGACGGCACTTGGGCGTTGGTGGGGACGTCCATGGTGGAGTTGGCAGCAAAGATCTTGGCTAGCACTTCCGCCTTGGCCGTTGAGTCGAATACAATAGTTCCATCCTGACACGTAAGTGGTGGAAGGCTACTGTGTGAGAAGTTCTTTTCAATCTGCTTGGCCAGCGTCCAGAAAGACCGACTGCCATTGCGCTGCGACATTACCCTGTGCCTAACTTTTATGTCATGCTGGTTTTTGGCATTCCGAACCGCTTCGTTATATTTGTTTCTGGACTCGACGTCGGCTTGTCTGTTCTCTACAGTGGGGTTTTGTAAGTAGGTTCTGTGGGCCTTGATCTTCTGCTGGCGAGCAGTGTCACACGATTTGTTGAACCAGCCGTTGGACCCTGGTTTAGGAACTTTCACTGTGTGAGGGATGTATTCCTCCATTCCGACGTGGATAATTTCGGTTATTGAAGAACAGACAGTCGACGCATCCGCGTCAGTGAAACAGACATCTCTCCAAGGAAAGCTAGAGAAGAAGTCTCTGAGCCCCTCCCAGTCGGCATGTCCGTAATGCCAAGTTTTGCGGCCTGTGCGAGTTTCTGCTGCCACAGCGGCTTCTGACCGAAACCTAACCTCCACAACACCGTGATCTGAGTTACCCAGGGGGGACAGGACAGCAGTGCTGTAAGGGGCAGGATGCGTGGTCAGAAAGAGATCCAACAGGCTACTGGCGTGTGACGAGACGCGGGGGAAAAAAGTAGGGCTCGTCACCAGCTGGGGCAGCCCTTGAGTAAGAGCGAACGCTTCGACTGCACGACCTGCTGCATCGGTCTTATTTGAGCCCAACCAAAGCTCATTATGGGCATTGAAATCACCGAGAAGAACTACCTCTGAAGCGGGGTGATTGATGTTCAGGAAGTCGATCTGGACGGCGAGGTATTCGAGTAGGTCATCCCAGTTATGGTTCGAGGGAGAGCGATAAAGGCAGCAAATAAATTTGGGTGATGTTTTGGAGTTGAGGCGAAGCCACAGAATGTCCTTCCGGTCTGATTCCAAAGAAAGATCCCTGGAGCAGGAAAGACTGCTGCGGACAAAAGCTACAACTCCCCCGTTCTTTCTCAGATTGGAGTGCACCTCGTAGTTTGGGAAGTTGAGATGGTTAATCGGTGCAGTCTCTGAGATTTTTGTCTCCGCCAAGAAAAGCACGGCGGGACGATTGGATTGCAGGTAGTGATGAACAGCATCAATGTTGCTGTTGATCCCGCAGATGTTCGAAAAACAAATTTTATCTTCGATGTTGTTCCCTCGAGCCCACCCTCCACCCGGACATTCCGAGAGTGGAGTGAGTTTACGTCCGGAGTTTTTAGTGCTCGAGGGATCCATCATCATTAATTTCTTTGTTTTGGTAGATAACCGACTGCATAGCTTAGGTGTGGAAACATGCGGACATTTATAAGACACCCTGGGAAAAGCTAGCGGGTGGTACTGCCTCGGTCGACTGGTCCTTGTCTACCACCTTCTTTTTACGTGTTAGTGATGTTAAATAGACCTAAAGTGGCCCGTTGAGAAGCCTTCAAGTCTCCCTCCATGCACAGTCTGCAGTTTCCGATATTTAGGCATATATCTATGTTTTGGGTTATAAGGAACATTTCTAGCTCTGCCTTTTTGCTCAGAATGCAATCTTGAATTCAGTTCTCAGATCTCTCATATTCATTGACGTCTTGAAAAAGAGACAGGTGCTTGAACTTTCAGAGTGTCCAGTCTCTCATTGAACTGTTTGAACATAGTCATTAGGCGATGATAGACAGTCCAGTACCCGACTGTCTATGTTATTCCTAGTACTGGTATTGTTAGTACTCGTAATGGTTTCCGGTCGAAGTTGATTTTGAGTAGCTTGAGCATATGACATGCCTGGCCTGGTTGTGTTTGAAACAAATGACCTTGGGATTACAGGTGGTTTCTGAAGTGTTTTAGAAATTTCACAATCTCTGTAGTAGGAGGGGGGACTAATCGTTGGCAGTTCACGTGTTTATTGTTTAGACTTCAATAAATGAAAGTAGCACATTTTTCCGTTAACGTTACATTGTTTGTCTGCACGAACCGCATAAAATAATTTTATAAGCGTTTCCGAAACGACAACAAAATGTGTGTGTGTTTTGCAAAAGCGCAGGCAGTTGTGCAAGGCATTGCATGTGACATTCAATCATATGTGATGTCTACATGGAAATTTATTACTTGGCCTAGAATTCTAGACAAAACGTCTAGGCACATTTCATGGCTAGTGTGCATTTTGTTGCCACTTGCGTCGGGCATGACCCACGCACGTTAAAACTATTTTTCCACAATTACTTTAATGGTCCATTATACTTGAAAGGTCGAACTAGTTTCCACCGTGAAAAATGCTGACAGGGTAGTATCGAGCAGGTTGACAATGCACTTTTGTTTAGCGTTTTCTTTTTGTTAAACTTCTGTTGCACTGATGCAGTTACTTATACAGGGTGTCCGCAAAGTTGGGGTTTTCCTTTACACGACGTGTAGATCTTGAAATCATAAGCAATTTTTCTTAGTACCATATACACCAATGCCTTAAGGGAACCGAGATAAAGGGCTCTGCAACATCAAAAATATCTGAATACCGTCCTGTAGCCGCGACTCGCGACATCCCCAACTGGTACTAGGACACTAGCTCAACCCGACAGACAGAACTGGGTCGGGGGTCGGGGTCAGTGTGTCAGGTAGTATGCAACCTTCAACCGACGGTTACGGTCACGCGTGTAGAGGTAAACGAACCCGTATAATCGATTGCGTTTCAAAAAACAACAAGCACTAGAGACGTGGCTAGAGAAGTGAAAGTATCAAAAACTGAAGTGTGGCAAACGCTGCGTGAAGAGGGGCTGTATCCGTTTCACGTCCAACGTGTACAAGCCCTTCAACCTGACGATTTTCCAGCAAGAATGCGGTTTTGTGAGTGGTTGTTACATCAACATGACAATAATCCGGACTTTTTGAAGTGCATATTGGTGACAGACGAATCTACGTTCACGCGTAATGGGGTGAATAACTTTCGCAACACTCATGTTTGGTCAGTAGAAAATCCGCACGCTGTCCGTCGGGCACATTTTCAACAAACATTTTCGGTGAATGTTTGGGCTGGCATGGTGAACGGTATGCTCATTGGACCATTTATTCTCCCAAATCGATTGGACGGGATGCAATACCTAGACTTTTTACGCAACATTTGCCTTCCTTGTTAGAAGATGTGCCATTAAGTGTAAGACAATCAATGTGGTTTCTGCACGACGGTCATATTTGTTACCTCTGTTCGTGGTCTACTGGTCTGCACCACCGCCGGCGTCTGCTCGGTAGCGCATCAGCTGATTTCATTTTCTGTTGGAGCGGTATGATTTCGGGCAGAGACGTACTTAGCCCTTCTCGTCAACTGGAGAGTGAGTACTTTTTTCTTTATTTTTTTTTACTTGGTCGCCCACTACACATTACCTTTGTTATTTCAAAAGTAGTTGTTTCTGAAAAGGAAAACCCCAACTTTTCGGATACCCTGTATATTCATGTTTTTTTTTCGGTTCGTAGTTTGAACTGGTTGTGCATTCAGCGCAGAAATATCGCACGCCCTGAAGAAGCTCGTGCTGGTATTATCACCAGTGTCACATTTTACCGCTTTTAATTGTAGTTTTGCATGCTCTCCCCTTCTTCGAATATTTGCGATAACAGCACGGGAAAGACGAACGAATCACGACATAAGTTTTTATTCTTTTTGGGGCAAGTTTTGGATGAACTAAACACACGGAAAATGCACGAAGTTATCATAAGAAAGTGCTATTATACTTGAATCAGACGTATGAATCGCTGATCATCTGGAGTTTTATTTAAAATGTGTTAACCTTAGAAACCATTTAATGTTTTTTATGATAGCAATTCAGCAAATAAAAGCAAACTATCTTCTTCCTGACCAAAAGTTCTATCAGAACCTGAACAATATCTAACTCATAGACATCTCATCACTATGTCATGAAATGTCAAGAAAACACTTCACGTATTTGGAAAATAAAATTATTTAATAGTTTAAGCAGAAAAGTTGCCTTTTGGATCACTCTGTATAAATGTTACTTACATATGTGCTTTATCTTGATGTTGATCTTTGAATTAATTTGTCTTATTTATAAACTAATTATTATTGAATTGATCAGTGATTAATGCTTCCGTCTGTTTTTAATAACATTTACCACGACGCGACGCGCTATGAATTTTGATCCGAGTAGTCATTGAAGCACTAACAGTATAGATTATGTTTAAAGTCCAACTATATGTTTTTCAGTAATTGGAACGTCGGTAAATTAGTAATTACTCGTATTTTGATGCCGGTCTCCGTGATTACAATTTTTTGTTTTAAGCCGCTGCGCAATTATGCAATCTTTACTACTTGAATCTCTGATTCATTTGTACAGATACCACAAACAAGAAGCCTGACATTTGGCGATACTACAATGTAATTGTGGATAAATAAAGACGTCTATTATTATTATTATTATTGAGAACGAAGCTTCTGGTCCAGAACTGATTCCTCTTCTGTTGTACTGAAGAGATTTACAGCGGAGCTTGAACCAGTTCTTTAGCGTCTCTTCCAAATATCTTACGAATCTGGTTCTTTCCCAGATAATTGGAAATTTGCTCATGTCCAGCCCAGCCCGTACCAAAAAATGATCTTAGGCCGACCATTACAGCTAGGTACAGACCTGTAGCTCTGCTTTCTGTTCTCCGCAAGCTGATGGGAAAATACATGAATAGGGACCAATGGGAAAATACCTTATCGAAATGCAATTTGACGGAAGCTGTCAAAGGTCTCTGAATATTAGTGATTTCTATTGAAATATTGAATACAATCACGAAAATTCGACTGTATTATAAACAAGACCACTTTTTGATTCCAACATGATGCTTTTGTACAGAAAAAACAGGACAACTTTCATGTATTTTGATATATGTTATAGGTTTACATTTAACAATTCGTTATCCCCTCAGCGAATGGGAATGCGGCAAATAATAGGTCGATTTTCTAGCTGTTAAATTTGGCAGCAGATTTGGACGTTTGTTAATGCATGGCGCTCTCGAATTTACCAACTTCAATATACTGAAAGTTATCATTACATACCTGTTGAATAGTGTGGATTTATCTGTATTTTGCAAGAAAATAGAATATAAAGTACATTCCATCCAATTCATCATCTTCCTTTACGTCTTAATAGTAATCATTTATTAATTTATGGGTTAATGAATTTCTTCAAAGCAATAAAAACATTATGTCCTCTCCATCCTAAAGCACAGATAATATGTGTAAGACATGTCAATCCCTACATCTCCCTGGTGAATAATGCAATTACTATGGACATAGACAAAAAATTATGAAAAATGTTTCACAGATAATGGCTTTTAAGTCCAAAAATCAAAAAAACTAGTAATGTTTATTGTTTATCTATTTTTCTTTTTTGACTGGCGGGGATATTTATCTGATACTCGCAGGGTTGCCAAGTCTAACGACGATCACGTCCCGTGGTGGAGGGTGCGAAATGAATCTTTTACATTTGCTGGTTTTGCATTTTTTTCGTGAAAATTTACTAGGTATCATGATTATAAGCATCTTTGGTAGATTGTTCGATCCGGAATGGGAAAGATCTCCTATTTATGAAAATATTTTTGGTATCATCTAACCGTTACAATCAGTGCACAAACACTGTGACATATGATTTGTAGCATAACCCGCTGCCCTATCAATACAAATTAACATACAGGTCGCCTAGCCGTGGGGATGCAGTGGTCGTGAAATGTATTGATACTTCTAAATATAGGATCGATCGAACATCCCTACTGTCAAGATGTATAACCCAAGGTACCGATGGAGCTATATTGCGGCGTCATGGAAATAATTTTAAATTTTCGTTTGCATTTTTTCAAGGGTTGTGGAATGATTTTGGGAAAATGTCACGAATAGTCTTATAAAGCATAGTAGAGTATATTTCAACAGTTGGCGGAACTTACTCCACTGGGACCAGGAGGGTGAAACGGGATATTAATGCACAATCTGGCAACCCTGTCGCACCCTCACAAAATGGCCGCTAATAACCACACAAGTCACCGTGTTGTCATTGAATAACATGGAATTAAACCTTCAGAGTATAATATGTTTTGTGACTGGTACCAAGAGTTGACAGATCCCACACATGTGTCACTCCTTGAAATGCAATAACCAGTTGTATTCAAATAATGTCTAATATAAATATAACCTAGAATGTGTACTCGTGAAAAAAGAAAAATATGGCAAATTTGTAGTTTTTTTTGCAGGTTTTAGGTTTGATGGTAGCTTTAAGGCGTATATTTGGGAATTTATTTATCGCTGTGAATATATTTCAATATTTCCCAACGTTGTTCAAGCGTACAACGACTGAGTCTATGCCGCGGAGAGATGATACTGGCGAATTTGGCGAACAAGAGAGCACTGTCAGTGTCGACATAACCTATGATTCAAAAAGAGACCACTAGATGGCCCACCCTTTAGTTTGGGCACTCGTTCTGGTTGTTAAGATCTTCAATATACTGAATTTAAACAAAACATTCAAAAGCTATTCCCCATTAGCTTTTTGAGTGGTATTCTGTGTTTGCGGAATCAAACTGTGAAAACCCCAAACTATTTATGAACATCATGTACTTTCTTCAATTTTCATCAATAAATAGTAATGAACTTGGACTGAGCATAGTATTACTGCTTTCTGGAGTCAAGGGTCAAGACAGTATGCTTCCTGTTCCATAAAAAAATTCCATCAAAATACATACTGCAAAACAAATTTGAGTTCAGCCGCGCTACCAAATCTATTTTCATTTTGCAAAAAAACTGGACTGTATATATACACTGGAGCTACAGGTTTGAAGCTAGATTATGCACTGGCAGCTAAAATATCGGAAAAAGCATACCTGCATCATGTTAGGTCCCATGGGTGCGCCCAAATTCATCGGAGGTCCTCCCATCTGCCCGTTGGGGCCCTGCATCATGCCCATGGGGGCCTGCGGCGGGCCCCACGCCGAAGACGGATCAGAACCGCCCATCTTGTTTCCGCCACTGCCGTCCCGTGGCTCAGCTTTCTTAATCTCCACCTGAAATAAACAGAAGTTTACAGTAACAAAGCAAAATCCAAACAAGTTCAGTTCTCAAAGTTCAGAATATATCTTCAAGATATAACCAAATTTTTTACAGCTATTAACCCCCTCCCCTCGTCAGCAAAAGTAAGCCAACCTCCCAATGCTTATGGAAAGATTTTGGCACATTTTACAATTTGAAGCAAGCATTGGCTCTCACGCACATGTTCTGAATACCATTTAAGATCTGGCTCACCTGACTCAACACACTCTACAGTAACATGATAACCATCAATTTTCCATTGAACTGTATACCTCTGCTAATACATTTCCCGCAAACTTGAAATTGCATATCCATATTTGGGTAAAATTAATATTTTGGCAAGTAGTTATTCTCCCAATTTTTACTGAAAGTTAGATAACCTCCCGAACAGTACAGGCCTTAACAATGGAAAATAATATAACGGTAAGAAATTTGGCAACAGCAGAAATTAACAAATAAATAATCTTGATAGTGATGGTGATATAGTGGTGGGGATAGTAAATTCCACCATAAAAATAATAATTAATAATAAATACAGTAACATGCAGTGTATGTTATCTCATAATTTAAAAAATCCTTTTGAGTGAAAAATGAAAAACATGCTTATAAAACAGTATGCTCTACCATAGCTTTACCATCCATAATGCTACCTTGAAGTACTATTAAATAGTGAATAGAGGCGTTCTTGAAAATGTATGGTATCTCCGTCCGTGTTACACCCAAATTTTGCATTTTATAGTAAGAAGTTGGATATTTTCGATTTGCTCTAGAATGTTTGTCAGTCGCCATCTGGACTACTACTATACATGCAAATAATCTGCTTTTCGCTTGGAGGTAGGAATCTGTTCTCTCATTTTGCCTTTCATTCTCAAAAACTTGAGCATTCGAATCATGAAAAATGACGGGTTGAAGAAAAGTAAAATAACATACCTGTTTTCTATTCAAATTAACAAAATGTTCAGCAACACATCTATCTACGGCGTCTTCATCTTCAAACGACAAGAATCCAAAACCTCTAGATTTTTTCTTCTCTGTGAATATAGTGTGGATGTTTGTTCAGTTCCTGAACAACGAAAAATATTCAACTTTATGGATGTATGGATATCAAAAAACCTGAATGGTTTTGTGGGAATATCAATCTAAGGTGCCATAATGGTTCTGATGAACGGCAAGTAAATGAATGAATGTTTGGAAACGAGCAATATCTTTTGGTAGAGCCTGTCATCAAGTAGGTGTTTCATGGCTATCTGCAAGAGGTTTATAGGAAAAAACACCCACTATCACATATCAATTGAAGAAAATAATACAAACATGAATAAAAAATCAACAATAGTAATTAAAACATGAATTTAATTCAAAAATCAAACATTTCTTAAAATTTTGACTGAATTATATGTAATTTCTTAATATTCAATAAGCTGGTGATGTTTCAATGACAAGTTGTCATCTCATACTTTGACAGTATTTTGTTTTCAACATCTCATAGTTATTGGTTACTAAAATTTGTTGATCGGAACTTGAAGCTCATCCGCTGTATCTGACGGTCTGTTATACCCTATAGGTGGAGAATAACGGACTGATGTTGGTGAAGTTGGCCCTTATTCTATCAAATAGCAATTGATTGAGGCTGGTCGGTGCCTAGATCACCGAGGACTTGATTTGGCATGAACACAACTTTCTTTTTCAATAAAACGCACACCATTTGAGATATCTCGAAAATTTTATTATAGGATTGAAGTTTACTCAGGACACTTATACAGGGTGACTTTGAAGTTGAGTCATTAATTTTCAGATAATGATTGTAGAAGGAAGATAAACCAAAATATGTGTGTAAAAATAAAAAAAAAATGAAAAAAAAATTTTACCTTGTTTTATAAAGTATCCTCCCGACAAGTATTTCAGTGCGAACCTGTATTTGATCGTGAGGTCTTGGAGCACCGGCATGCCGTCCATATGTGAGGTCTTAAGTCACCTGATTCACGAACCCGTTGTACTACATTAACAAAGGCACGAGGGGTTGGTTGCACTCGATTGGGAAACCGATCAGCATAAACATGTGCCATTTTTTATTTCGTTTGAGCCACGCAACAGACACCACTATTCACTACCGACTGACACTGACTGTATACAATTGAATGAAATAATTGTAAAAACATCGTTCCAAATTCTTTCGCTTTTTTGTTTCCGATGCGATGAACCGATACAGCGGATTATATCCGTTGTCGCCAAACACGAGCACATAATATTATTATTGAGACAGGGCGGTACTCAAACTTCCAAAGGGCTATAACTTTGTTACTTTAATTTTACCAGAAAAATGGTAAAGGAAAAAAACATTTCTTTTGATCAGATCTACTCACTGTTAAAATAAATGACTCAACTTCGAAGTCACCCTGTATGACTTTGAAGTTGAGTCATTAATTTTCAGATAATGATTGTAGAAGGAAGATAAACCAAAATATGTGTGTAAAAATAAAAAAAAAATAAAAAAAAATTTTTACCTTGTTTTATAAAGTATCCTCCCGACAAGTATTTCAGTGCGGACCTGTATTTGATCGTGAGGTCCCCTCTGAGGTCTTAAGTCACCTGATTCACGAGCCCGTTGTACTACATTAACAAAGGCACGAGGGGTTGGTTGCACTCGATTGGGAAACCGATCCGCATAAACATGTGCCATTTTTTATTTCGTTTGAGCCACGCAACAGATACCACCATTCACTGTCACTGACTGTATACAAATGAATGAGATACTTGTAAAAACATCGTTCCAAATTCTTTCGCTTTTTTGTTTCCGATGCGATGAACCGATACGGCGGATTATATCCGTTGTCGCCAAACACGACCACATAATATTGTTATTGAGACAGGGCGGTACTCAAACTTCCAAAGGGCTATAACTTTGTTACTTTAATTTTGCCAGGAAAATGGTAAAGGAAAAAACATTTCTTTTGATCAGATCTACTCACTGTTAAAATAAATGACTCAACTTCGAAGTCACCCTGTATAGACCAGTTCTGATGCTAAGGCGGTTCAAAAATCGGATTGATAAGACGAGTTTAAGTTCGCGGTGCCCGGGATTTATCTTTTTACCTACTTGACTACGTATAAAAAATATACGGGTTAAAACGTGTACATCTAAATACTCCTCCTTCTTCGCTTTTGAGATGGGTGTAACACGTGATCTCGCTCTAAAGACGACACAACTGCCTACACCAAACAATCTCTTTGAATGCTGTTGCTTGGTGCAGTAGCCGAGGCCGGGATTGTGTCGTTATGTGTCCGTCCGGGTCGACAGCAGCTCGTAATAAGGACATGAAATGTTCTTTGATAGAGGTCAAGAGTCAAGAGCTGTGCTATGCGCGTTGCGCGCTGTCATCTAAAGAGATCTTTGTCCTGGCCCATCGTCTGCCGCCCGGTCGCACCGCCGCCGTGTCTCTGACGTCTGGGCGTTTTTTAATTTCTAGAGCACCGGATCACCGCAGTACAGTGCAGTGTAAAAAATGTCGGGCCAAATTAACAAGATGCACTGATATCAGACAGGCACTCGCTGCTTGAAGATTTTACGTCCTCCGTTAGACTGAAACTTTTATTTTCCCACACCAATTGGAGAGGAGAGGAGGTATTGTAATCGCGAACAATTTCGGAAATGAGAGACTGTCGGTCTGTCTATCCGCTAACGAAATTTTAATAACTTTTTGTGACATGGACAAAACAAGGTGGTTACTATGTAAAACGTACCTAAAAAGCCGGAAATAGCATTCGATTTTTTCTATCACCCACGGTTTTCTTGCAATAAGGCATTTTATTTGCTGCTTATACTCATAAAATATAAGAATAATTATGTGTGTAAGAGTACTAATAAACACTCGAATAAACATTAACTCCCATGTTTTTCGGCGATATGTTGCTCCTGAAGTATCTCTTAACAATGTCCAGCAATAATCAGCAAGCAAATTGACACCCCATTTGCCTTGATACCGTTTTTCCAAAGCAGAAATGTCTTGGTAGGTCCGTTTACCATATTCATCACTTACCCCACCCAAATTTTCCGGAAAAAAATCGAGATGAGAATCCAAAAAGTGAATTTTTAGAGACATGTTACATGCCATTCCTTTATAAGCATTGATTAGTTCACTCACTATATCTTTATAATCGTCCGCTTTCACATTGCCTAAAAAATTTGCAGTAACTGATTTAAAAGCATTCCAAGCTCGTAATTCAGTTTCATTTAGAGCACTGTCAAATACATCATTCTTCATGATTTTCCGTATATGTGGACCCACAAATATGCCCTTTTTATTTTTTGCCTCACAAGTCTCGGAAATGTTTGTTTTAGATGCAGAAACCCTCTTCCATTTCGACATAGCTTTCACAAAATTTTTCATCAGTCCCAACTTAATATGCAAAGTTGGAAGCAACACGTTTTTGGGATCAACTAGTGGTTCATGAGCAATGTTTTTGGGATCAACTAGTGGTTCATGAGCAATGTTTTTGAGGTCCGGAGTTAATACCTGACATAGTGGTCACTCCTTAATGACGATCTCGCGCACGACTTTCCCATTCACAAAGAAAACAAAAATATTTGGAATATCCCAGTTGCATCCCAAGAAGAAGGGCTACTACCTTTGAATCTGCACATATGGCCCATCCATATTCACTATAACGGACATGCTCTAATAGAACTCGCATATTTTCATATGATTCCTTCATATAAACTGCATCCGCTATAGGTGCAGATGCATATTTATTACCGTTGTGTACAATACTGCTTTTAAACTGAGCTTAGAGGAATCAATGAACAGGCGCCAATCATTTGGATCATGTTTCTGACCTAACGCATCAAATTGTTCACATCGGAGCAATATATCAACTCACTTTCTTGACGGAAACAGTGTGTGAGGTCTTGTTGCCGTTTTCGGTAAAAAGTAATGTTAACATAACCGTGGAGAAGATTCCATCCTTTTAATGTTGACGCTCAATGTTCTGACTGAGATTTTGACAGATTTAATTCTCGAACTAAGTCATTAAGTTCGCCCTGTGTGATCAAATGCTGCGCTGTTTAACATCCTGGCACGTCAAACTAAGGATCGGAAATTTTTACGCTTTCTGTACCATCACTTTCAGAATCGGTGGATTCGCTTTTTCATCCAAAGACCAAGATTCTGGTGGAACTGGGACAGAAAGTTCATCACTATGCATAACGGGCCGCAAGGCTTATGGTAAATTAAAATGCTTAACACTATGTTTCGATGTTCGTCCAATACCTTTAATATTTGTGAGGCAAAAATAGCAATCAGTAGTATGGTCTCTGGGTTTTCTTCATACCATTGGTACCGCAAAGGGCGGTTTACGATTGTCGCCTCTTAACCAACCTGTTAACAACGTTACACAAGTCTTATTACTTATATGAGGGGCCCATAGTTTATCTTGGTCGCCAACTTTAATTCCAAAATGAAGTTCGTATGCTTTCAACACAAGGGGAGTAAAAGTACGTTTTTGGGGTTTAAAAGTTAGCTCTGCGCACACATAACAAAAACTGTTCGCACTATTTACACACTTTCTAGGCATTGCCCATAAAGCTAGCCTCGATCTCAATAAACTCACCGTTTTAACAAAAGTAACAGTACTCAAAACATCTCAGCACTCTTCAACACAGAAAACGTAACTGACTCGGCTGCTATTAGTCTACTAATAAACGCAATATGCTCTCTAAACATAGAGCTCGCATATAATAAATAGGAATAGACAGGTCTTAACATTATATATGTGCGTCATCGCATAAACGCCGAGAAATGCAGCAATATGAGATGTTACGTATTGTAATTCATAAAAGTAGATGCTACCGAATATCTGTGGGTGATAGAAAGATTCTGTTTTTAGATTTGATTTAAGGGTCTCAAAATACATAAGATACACCCAAAAATTGTCAAGCCAGAAATCCTAACTCGGAAAGTACCGCTAGGATTTAGATGAAACTTTGACTCAAAGTTAGTACTACGCCAAGAACAACAGCTTTTAGTTTTTTGAAATCTTTACAGAGGCTACGGGCCAAAAAGGAAAAAATCAAAGAATCCTGCTCGTTTTCAGAAATTGTGAAAATTGGGAGTTACGAGTTGTACGGTTAGGTATTAGTGGAAGATGTTCTATTTTTACGGAGCTTCTGATCCGCTAAAAAATACTGATCTGTTAAACATAATGGAAACAGAAATGTGGGATTTATTTTCGTATTGACAAATTTTGAAAGTTGGGGGCTGCCAGTTGAATGGGATAGGGAGGTTGTGAATGTAGGATCTTTGGTATTAGTGAAATACATTCTATTTCTGCGAAGCTTCCGATCCCCTAAAAGATACTCTTCTATTTGACATAATAGAATCAAAAATTACCATTTCTTACTTGCAAATATGGTGAATGTGCACACTTATACCGTGCAAATCATTTACGGTTGAGGTCGGCCAGGTTCCAATGTGTAAAAGAGAGAGAGAGAGAGAGAGGAGCGTGCAACACATGTGTTAGAAAGAGTGCGCCCAGAAGTAATCACCACGTTGCCTGCCAACGACAGCGAAAAAGGTCACACTCTTTATTTTTTTTTTATTTTTAACATTCGTGTTGGAGGCTTCTCTCGTACACATTGAAACTCTCGGTATAATATGTCCCACTTTTGATTAATAAAAAATCTTTTATTCAGTCAGAAATCTATTCCGTGATATCTCATATGCCGTTGCTTTGATCGATATTGTAGATTGTACTTGTTCTCCATTATACGCTTAAATAGTACAATTTGTTGTACAGTTTCTACGATAGAACACTGAAGAAGTCGTAACGCGTTTGGTCGATTTGAATCATAGTTAATATGGCGTTAGGTTTGAAAATATACCGAACTCAATCTAAATGATGTCGGAGTCAGTCTACTTGACGCCATTTTCACATGAACTTTCTGACTTTAGTCCTTTCCATAGGTGACGTGACATCTTTGTTTGTCGTAGATGACTAGTCTTTGGGTTTCTTCTGCATTGTAGTAGGAGAGCCGATCGCAAATTTTTTGCTACATCATCGCATACTGATATAATAAAAAATTTAAATAGTTTCTAACATATATCGGTATGCGATGTAAACTTTGCGGTCGACTCGTTCACAGGAAAAACAGAGATCCTTGGTTTGGCGATTCGCTTATAGATGACTCGACATTCTGCCAAGAAACTGCGATTTCGCTCACAGATGACTGCGAATACCGAAGCGGTGTTGCCAAACTGACATATAATGTTGAGAAAACACTACATCTATACTGAGCTGAGTTCTTTTCACGGTTATTAGTGGGTACGACAAAAAGTCATGCGAAATAAGTAAACTTATTTTTTTTAAATCAGACCGTCTAGATAACTGGTAACTATGTCAAATACACCGAAACAATTTGAGGTTGAATAAATTTTAATTTCAAGCTGACATTCTTCTTTTGTTACTAAAGGTTAAATAGCTATGTGATAACTTATCGTTTTGAAAATAACTTCTGTTTACATGACGCGGATAGCACTCGCGAAAAGTGCGAATTATAACTTTATTGAATGAAAAATATATTTCGTAAGCGGCCAACGGATGATAAATATCCCCACCATCAAAAGAGATGTCCAAACAAAAGTAAACATGCTTTCACTACGAGTGATGGACAGTGAATTCATCTAAAACGGATTATCTATCTGACAACACCGCATTTATCTCTAACTAACTAAGAACAGCACATGTTCATACGCCATCATATGTTCTATGTATTGCATGTTTTTGGTTAAATTTCTTATCTCCCTCTGTCTCATTTATTGCCTTGTCCTCTTGGTATAACTACTCTTTGTTCATACCATACTAATCTTGTAAAAAGCATGTTGTATATGGTTGGTTATGATTGCAGAGATGGAAAATACAGATTATTTTCGGCCATTAGACAGTTTGTTAATTGCATGATCTTCTATGTCGTAGTACCATTGTAAGTATAGGATAGATTCAAGCGTTGTAGAACCACTACGAGATTACTAGATTGGTATTCGGTACTTTTAAGTGTCTATAGCAGCAGTAATGCAACTTTCAGCTGGAAGAACAGTCACTCACAATTTCAGGGTAAAATTGCAACTGATTGGAAAAAGGGCTGTTGAAATCAAAATCATTTATCCCCATGTCTGTTGAGAATTTGGAAATAACCTACATCTAGGTTATAGAAAGATACAGATCTTATTAGCAGTTGGTCGTGTTTACACTGTAGATAGCTCAGAACAGCATATCTACTCACAGAACTAAGACCTTCTATGGGTATCTAACCGTTTTGCTACCCTCGGTGTAAACGGTGTCATAAACAATCATTGCCAAGTTACCATCAGTACATTCTTAGTATCAATTTTGCAATCGTGCGTTTTTAGACCGATTTTAATCAAGTTGTAAGCCCGATTTACACAGCAATGTATCGTTTTTTGATGAATAATATTCACGAAAAATGAGCTTTAGAGATATATAAACCTACAGTATTGCCCTATATATAACTAATTATCGATTATACCGTCTTTGTCTACTGCAAATGATATACTTCATTATAAAATCGTGAGATATAATTATCTTGAGGTTTAAAAATATCGTCTACCATAAACATTGTCTGGTTCAGTTCCAGCCGCAAAGTGTATGTATGTTATGTATCTGTATTACTTTGGAGGACTGCAGCTCATTGCAGTAACAGCAGTAGCGACTATCCAGTCATATGAAAGCAATCATACGTGCTGGTACGACCTTCAAGATTACACGAACAGCAGCGTTGCATGCTATACAGGGTAATACAGCTAGGAATGCCTTAGTTTTAATACCAATTAACTCAGAGGTTATGGGTGACAGTTGATTCAAGACTCGAAAGGGCTGATGAAACATTTGCAAGGAAAACCCTCATAATAGTGGAAGAGCGGACCACCTTATCGACCAAGTATTACAAGTATTATCTCCAGTGGGTCGAGGTTAGATTTCAGAGTTGCTTTTTATTGATTTTTATCACTTTTACATTTTTTAGTTCACGCCTACTGGCGGGGAAGCATTGTAATCGCGAAAATTTCCGAAAATGAGTATGTTATATGACATGTGCATTACGGAAAACCATGTCGCTCATTTCCGCGAGTCTGTCATACGTATACATACCGTATGCATTAAGATTCATTTCCTGGCGTACATTTTAAGAAACGTCAGATTTCGTCAGAATGATAGTTCCAAATGAAAATATCATGACCTACTTTTCATTATTATATCCTCAAAAGCTAACCTTCGTAGATTATTATGAATCGTCCTGTAATTCGTATAACCTTGGTCGTTTCTCCTACTAGACTGGTGCAATGTAATGTGGCATTTTTTTCTAATGCAGCGGCGACCGCGGTGCTGCTTCTAATACAAGTATACAGACTACAAATAGTAGAGTCACTCTATTAGCTGGATGTGCGATGGCACCCTAGTGGATAGCGGACAGTAATATTTGTGCAGTCAGGGAGAAAGAAAGGAAGAAGGAAGGGGGAAGTGCGCCGGTTAAAGGGATGCCTTGCTATTGTTAACTGGTCTTCAGTTAATTTGAATTAATCCAAAAATTAATTTAGGAATTTGTGTATGGCAAAAATCGTAATTTTGGTTGGATATAGAATTATTGCATGATTTGATTTTGATCACAGTGCGAGCCGCGGTCTTGTGTGCTTGCGAACTTGCTCGACTGTGTAGTCTACTGACTCACGCAACAGAGGGTTGCTGTGCGATTCCGTTTGACTATAACGTAACTGCGCCTGATGTTTGATATAGTCCCTTAGGTAAGGGTTGTCGAGGTCTCTGTGAAGGGTCTCGTTGGAGACATACCATGGCGCGTTAGTGATGGTTCGCAAGGTTCTGTTCTGCAAAACCTGCAGATTACGCATATGCGTTTTGGCTGCACATGCGTAAGTGATTGCTAGTCTGATAACCATCTTGTATAGCCGAACTTTGTTAACCAAATTTAATTTTGAGGTTCTACATAGTAAAGGGTAGAGTTACCGAAACGTAATTTGGAATTTAGTTTTTAACGCTTCAGTGTGATTCTGCCAGGTCATCCCCTGTCAGGAGTGACACCGAGATACTTAGCAGAATTTACAGATGGTATGCGAGCACCATTCACTGAAACCTCAGGCGGGGCGCCGCTACGTTTTTTAGTACAATAGATAGCCTGCGTTTTCGAGTAATAAATTTTGATTAGCCACCGATCTGCCCATTCCAATACCTCATCCACCGCACTTTGTAACCTGTCGTGAATCATATTTCCGGTATGCGAATGGGCCACCAGTGCAGTGTCATCAGCATGTATATATACTATATACAGTCGCTAGAGCAAGGGACATCATGCGTGAAAAGTGAGTAAAGGATTGGCCCTAGAACCGATCCCTGAGGGACGCCGGCTCTGATGGGCCGTACTGTCGACAAGAAATTATTCATTTTGATCCGAAATTTCCTACCTTCAAGGATTTCAAAAGTTTTAGGAGCCAAAATGGAAATCCCTTTTGAATTAGTTTATAGAGAAGGCCCTTGTGCCACACCTTTTCAAATGCCTTCGAGACATCCAGAAGCAAGATGCCAGTACTTTTGTTAAGGGTGAAGCCCCTGATTACTCGCTCCACAAGCCTAACCGCCTGTAACTCCGTACTATACTCAGACCGAAATCCAAATTGCATATCAAGAATCAGATGGTGATCTAAGGAGAAATTCGTAAGGTGACGTAGAATCACCTTTTCAGGGAGCTTAGTCGGAGCAGACAGTAAGCTGATGGGACGATAGTCCTGGGGAAATATCGAATCCACCTTCTTTGGAATCATTATAATTTCAGCGGATCCTTAGCATGGCATTGACTATTGCCACGAGGTAAGTTAAGGACTTCCGCGAGGTCTTTAATATGGCCTTGAAGCTCTGCTGGTGTGCAATGCGGGATCTCGGGAGAAGCCGCTGATGTGATGTGCTACTCTTCAGCTGAAGAATCTTCCGAAAAAGAATCTTCTGAGGAAGAATCATTAATGGCGGCGCCGGGATCACTGACCCGTTGATACTAAGATATCTCCTGACGGATCTTACAATTTGTTGCTCCTTGTCGATATCAAGATCATAGTTGGGAGAGATCTGTCATTCCATAGCATCAGCGAAAACCTCGACCTTGTCCTCTGTCCTGAAGACTATGCCCCCAGGACCGTGGATGTGCGGGAGTTGTTCTCGCTTTCCGTTTCTGAGCGACTTCGCCACTTTCCAGATAGGAGTACTTGAGTCAAGCAACCCCGCCAGAAAATCGTTCCATTGCTCATTGCTGAATTCATGGAGAGCATCTCAAAGTGAGTGATTTATAAAATTTTCATGAGTTGCTTATAGGGCCTTC